GCTCCCCTAGCAAAGGCAGGGACACATTGTCTTTCTTCCTACTGCTCTTTCCTTATGCTATTTAAGATTATAATGATATATGTTTTTTCTTCCTTTGCTATTCCAAATCACTAAGGTCTTGGCCATGTTTCTTTCCTCTGTATTCTTGATTTTATTGGGTAATATTGAGAAGAACATGACCTTGGATGAGATTGTTGTGGAAAAAAACAAAAACAATCATCTTCCCCAACAATCCACAAAAGAAAACCTTTATGGTTTTATTGTTCTGTCACAGATTGATTGTCAAAATCCATTTCAGCGATTCCAAACATCATGATTAAAAAGTAGATGTGGAATCAGAAAAATGTCCCATTGTTACTTTGAGTCAGCTGCTAACTCAAAATATTCTCTGATAAGAATACCAAGAGGACTGCATGAAGGAGTAGTGCTGGGAACTCTGTTACAGTATCGTTTTTTTTTTCCTGCACAGCAGATGAATCTCACCCTACTAGCCCAGAGAGTAAGCAGGGCTCATTTCCTAGCAGGCTGGATTATGACTGAGCAAAAAGGTCAATGAATCAATGAATAATCAATGCACCTTCACGGAATATTATACTAATGACCACTGCTTCTATTGATTTTAAGAAGTTCATTATTGCAGGTTGGGATTCATTCATTTCAACTTCACCTATCTGCAGTGCAAATGACTCATCTAACCTCTTTGGGCATTTATTTTAGAATGAGATGTCTCAAATTCTAGATGTGATTATTTATCTTCATTTATTATAAGGGCAGTCCAAACAGGTAGCTCAGATACAGCAAGGGGGTTGCACTCGATGATCTTTAACGGTTCCTTCCAACCCAAACCATTCTGTGATTCTATGAGATTTCTTCTTTGTTTTAGACTTAGGATTTTGCCGTTTCCATTGAAAAATGGAGGAGAAAAATTCAGGAGGCTACAGAACATTACAAGTAAGTATGTTTTGCAACATCAAAGGCAATGGGCATGTTTTAGAGGCAAACTCACTTCAGCGGCAGGTTGGTAACATTCTGAATGATTGCATTGATTCAATCCTTTTTAAACAGTCATGGTAGCATATAATCATAGTACTTCAGTTTTATTCCTTAGAGCATTAGGAAATAAAGACAAATTGCCTAAATAAACAGAGGAACTATTCACCTTGCTACCTTGCTCCAGATGAAACTCTTGTGTCAAAGTTCTTCACTGAAGACATTATGCTGTTGATTTTAATCACACCACAGTTTTAACCAAGTCTGTTGTACTGTACATCATTATGTTGATGCAAAGGGAGGATATTTTCAGGGCTGTATCCAAAAAGTTCAAGTACTATGATGCTACCATACTATCATGCTACCATACTATCATGCTTCCATGACTGTAGGAAGGGCCACATTCCCTTCAGAGGTGTACCTGCTGTGGCATAGGCATTACCATGGCCACAGATACTTCGAAATGTAGCTACTCTGGTTTCATACTCGAAATGTAAGCAGACTTATCCACGGCCACAGATGTTTTGGGATATCCTGCTCCCATGTGGATTTATCCACAGGTCACAGTCCCTTGGACTCAAGTTCACACTGGAGTTCCAGCCGGTCCAGTACAGCAGCACAGAAACAGCAGCGGTGCCCTGGCCACCTGCCAGCCCAGGCTCATCGCCATTGCTGTGTTCAAAATGCGCCCAGGCACCGCAGAGCCGGACGGTCAGCAGCAGCAGAACAGAGGCAAAACAAAAACCCAGCCGCTAACGAGCACTAGGCTCTAACATACAGTAAGGCAAGCGAGCCCCATGGCAAGCACAGGAGCCTGCCAATTAATATCCAGACAGCAATGACAGCTATAAATTTGATCTAGCACATTCCAATCAAATCTGTCATTGTCTCAAACCCTTCGAGCCCCACGTTGGGCACCAAAAAACGACTGTTGTGGTTTAGCCCCAGCTGGCAATGGAGCACCACGCAGCCGCTCATTCATTCCCCCCATCAGTAGGATGGGGGAGAGAATTGGAAGGGTAAAAGTGAGAAAACTCATGAGTTGAGATAAAAACAGTTTAATAATTGAAATTTAAAAATTTAATAATAACAATAACAACAATAATAGCTATAATAATAATAATTTGTAATGAAAAGGAAAATAGCAAAGATAGATAAAACCCAATAACAAAGACAGATAAATAAAACCCAAGAAAAACAAGTGATGCAAATAAAAACAATTGCTCACCACAACCTGACCAATGCCCAGCCAGTCCACAAGCAGCAGTTCCCCTGCCAACCTTCCCCCTACTTTTATTGCTGACCATGACATCATATGCTATGGAATATCCCTTTGGTCAGTTGGGGTCAGCTGTCCCAGCTGTGTCCCCTCCCATCTTCTTGTGCACCCCCAGCCGACTCGCTGGCAGGGTAGTGTGAGAAGCAGAAAAGGCTTTGACTCTGTGTAAGCCCTGCTCAGCAATAACAAAAACACCTCAGTATTATCAACACTGTTTCCAGCACAGATCCAAAACACAGCCCCATACTAGCTAATAGGAAGAAAATTAACTCTATCCCAGCCAAAACCAGCATACCATGCTGTAGACAAGCAAAATTTACATGTATGAACACATTGTTTTTATACATCCTTTTCTGCCAGTGTAGATACAGGATTGGATTGGTGTCCAGGCCAGCACACATTGTGCCAGCCTCGTGTCAGTGTTCATCACAAATCCCTAGGAGTAATAATCAAGTTTACAGCTGCCTGAAGCTAACTGCTTCTGCTAGCAAGGGTGAGCTGTAATTTCCCCTTCATGTTCATCCATTAGGCATCCACAGTTCTGAGCTCCCTCTCTATGGGAGACCTTCTGGTCCTTCGCTCAAAGAGGAGAACATTCCTTCTCATGGGAAGGAGTAGAAGGAAGAAGAAGATAGAATTCTCTCTGTGTTTTGCCCTTCTACTCCCAATTTTTTCTGTAGTGATAATCCAAGAATCCAGCCACCATCCCATGATCTGGATGATTCAGGCCCAGCTCCCAGGATTTCAGATCACAGCTGAGATATGCACAGGCAAAAACAGTCTGGGGAGCAGGAGGAACCAGAAGCCAGTGTTTCTCCTTCCAGTGAGTACAGCTGGGTTATGGGGTCATGATTTTTCTCTGGTCCAACAAAGTTTGACTTCTTCTGGCACAGTTTCTGAGGTTCAGAAGAGGGAAGGGCAAGTGCCAGAACTGTCTGGTAGCTAGATGACTTTCCTGGGAGACACACGGATTTCTGAAAGCAGTTCTCATTGCTTGGCCTGATGGTCTGAGTGCTAGGGAAAGGGTGAGGGACAGGACAGAAACTTTTCCTTTGCATGTGTTTTAAGAGAAAGTGGTTGCTGCAGATGAATTTTACCTGAACCCAATCCTGTCAGTATAAGGCATGGGCAAAGGTCTCTGCTCAAGGAAAGCTTTTAATGTATTTATAAGCAACAGTTGCATGGCTCTGTCAAGATGGGAGCATGCTTTGAGACATCCGTGAACACTTGAGGGGTCTTAAATTAGAAGAGCATGGTACGTGATTTTCTCTTAAGAGCAGCTCTCTGAAGGTGCTTAAAGTGGCTCCTAAAGATGAAGATGGGGGCCCAGTGGGACTGGTGAACACAGCTAGCCCTCAGCGCACAGCAGGGAGGCCATCAGCATGCTGCGGAAAACCTCGGCAGATGCCTATGGGCATCGTTAGACATCTTCGTACCTTTAACATATCTGCTCCCTGATGCCATTTACTTTCTGTCAGAGAGCTGCTTGGGCCAACAGCTCCCTGGGGGCTGGGAGCACGTGGGCTTCTTTGGGGTGGCAGGGCAGGCCAGGACCTGGCAACCACCGTCCGTCCCCCCGCCCCAGCCAGGAGCAGGACAGCAGGGGGCACTGGGGCAGCCCCAGCCCTGGGCATTGGACACCTCCCTGGGGATGGGCACAGGCCGAGGCCGGGCCCATGGGTGTGCCCAGCTTGGTGGCACCCTAAATAGGGCAGGGCTGTGGGGAGCCAGAGACCAGCCCAGCTGCGGCACCGCAGGGCCCAGGCCAACAGCCCCAGGGGGCTGACATGGGTTCCTGGGCCGTGGGCAGGGTGGGGGCAGCCCCAGGGGGCCGGGCAGGGACAGTCAGGGCTGTCAGTGCCTCAAGGGCCCCAACACTTGCAAGCACTGGTCAATCCAAAGGCAGGCATGCTTTGTGCTGCTGCTGCTGCCTTACCAGCCGTGCCCGCTGCTGTCCGCCCGCGGCCGGGCAGCCCACTGCTCGCCTCTGCCGCGCCGGGGGAAGTCTCACCTGCGTGACTTCTGCGTGCGTCTTACCTCCACGTGGGCTTGGATTTCACCCTCGATGCATCTTTGCAACACACGTGCCGCTAAATCCATGTCCTGTCTGCAAGCTAGGCTTCACTGGGTCCTGAGAGTGACTGCCTCAGCTGTCAGGGTATTGATTTAAATGTCCCCGGAGGGAAACACGGCTTTCCTGTTTGGATGAGAGCTTGTCCCTCTGCTGCTCACAAGTAGCAAAGCCCTGACCATACACACCGTCTCGAGTGTCACACCGGCCCGCGACGCTCGAAACAAAAACACGTTGCCCCACAAGCAAGGCTGCCGGGGGGCATGTGATTCCCCGGACCAGCAGCCACCGTGAGATCGTTCGCAGCTGTTCGCAGGGACGCCGCTGCGGTGGCGTGACACCCATGTGGACATACGGCATGGCGATCTCGGCGTCTCAACGTGACTTAAATGCTGTCCTCAGACAAAATAAACTCCTCAGAAACATAAACAAAAGACGTTTATTGCAAATAAAAATTCACATTCACATCGTTAAACCTTATGAAGTAGGAGGAGGTCATTTTGCAAATTGTGAAGCATCCGTGTGCACAAGGGCTGCCGTTTTCTTCAGAACAGCTGCCTGGGACATGCTTATATTTATCTGAATGTGCCAAGCCAAATATCCTTCTATCTACAAAGGTTTTGATTTGGCTGGTGACATCGTTCTGACACTTCCACAGTTTCATTTTCTCTGGATCTGGCAGTAGAGGCTCATAGAAAACCCCAAACCGAGAATCTGGAAAACAAAGACATTTCTGGTATTACTTGGCAGTCCTGGAAATCCCAGGATACAACTGATACACAGTGGGAACATTTTGTTTGCAAATGTCTTGGATTTACATGCAGGCTAAATCTGCTATGCAGAAGATCTTTTCCAATGTAATTCCTAAAGAACATGACTCTAGAATATAGCCATTTTAATGAAATCAGTATGTACCACAGGTAAGACTGCAGACATGATGGAAAAATTTCATTTGTTTAAAAGATGGATTGCCTCTGTGGATGGGGAACCCTGTAACTCTGGGAGTTTAAAATGCAGTTGTTAGCTGCAATGGAGCAGCAAATACTGAGAAGTTCAAGAAATTCACACAAAAATTGAATCTTTTTGTTTCTAAGTAAGTTGGAGGAACTTTCTGATTTCATTGTGTATTCTAAGTGTTGTTTCCCTTTGAAATCTCTCTTCTTTTCCACTGTCGCTCTTTTTTATCTAAATATATGTGTAAAGGCATACATGTATATATGTATGGCATACATCTGTACACATACCCTAGTGTTTTGAGTGGCAAATGAACATGCAACAAATATTTTATGCTCATCAGTAATAGATCTGGGATAGAAACACTGAGTCTACTAAAGAAGCTGTTGCTTGAAATATAAAATGCAGTAGGGTCACCTTCTGTAGTGGGAATTACTGGGTGAAATTCCATAGCCTGTGACAGGCAACTGCCGAGACCAAAAGATAAGAAAGCTTTCTTCTGGATTTAAAATTAACCAGTCTGTGAAGGCGTTTCACAAAAGTGGAAAGGATCCAAATGACATTTATGAAGCCATGAACATGAGGATGCTTCATTTATTTAAGGAAGAGACAGTGGAGAGTGTACAGAACACAGGGGTACAGGTAAGATTAGGGGTTGAATTCACAGCTGAAATAAGCTGACAGGGCTTCCCTGACATCCATGCCTGCATTTTCACTTGCACCCAAGTGAAACCGGGACCTTCTTCTCAGTATCATTTCCACTAACAGGGCAAGCTGAGACCTTTAACAGCCCACAAGCAGCATAATGGAGCAGGCAGAGGGGGCACCGCTACGGAAGAGCACTTTTCCGTGTCCACATCTTTTTATCTGTGTTCTTCCAGAGCAGAGAGATGGTTAAGCATGTCGTCTTTGATTTGCAATTACTTGACAAGTCATAATAAGTTAATATCTTTGGAAAGGCTAAATGTTTATCAAGTGTAAATTGCCAGCTGACAATTTTTACCAGCTGAGGCTCATATTGTTTATTCATGTTGTTTTCTAATCCTTTTATGATTGGAAGAGGCAGCCACCACAGAAAATGCCAACTGGAGAACAGGGAAGAATGATGGCCAATGAACCAAAGGCTACAACTCATGTAATCGCAGTAACTAGAGCAAAGTGACTTATAACTTGCCTTTGGGACACAGATGCAATTTTACACTTCTATTATATTTTTAAAGGCCTTTTAATATTGGCGTATTTCACCTATTTTTTCCCCAAAGTCTACGTATAGGCGAGAGACTTGACCCCCCACATACAGCCTGTGCCGAGTAAGACGTTAGTGGCCTGTCCCTTCCCAGTGCTGTAGCTGTGTAACTCTTCCCCGCTTACTATTATTTTCCTGGAAAAATATTTTTGAGTTGGGGCTCTTGCCCGCTCTTCTACCACTAGGAGCAATCCTCTGCCAATGATGTTAAGAAGTTTTCGCTTGGAATGACAGGCTGAACTCTGCACAGCAATCTTTGCCATTTCTGCTCTTCCCTCAAACATCCTTCGGCGGGGGGCGGGGGAGGAGGGAAACCACAGAGGAATAGTGAGAAGAAAGAAAATGACCGAAGAAAGCAACATGATGAAATCCCCTCTTTCTTTGTCATTTTCTCCTAATCAAAGCCTATCATTCATCAAGTGGCTGACTGGATAACCTCACTGTTTTTCCTCCTCTCTTTGGAGAAAATTTTGCATGTTACTCTTCAGTGTATGATAGAGCAATTAAAATAAAGAGCTCACATACTCTGCTTTCTTACACACAGGAATATATAAAGCAGCACAGGTGTGCACTCAGGCACATTCACGCACCATCTTGATGGCTAAATAATGCCTTCGGAATAATAATTTTGTATCATGATTTCTCCATGTTAAGAAAATGCAGTTTAGGGGCTAAGTTTTCTTATGAGATTACTTTTTCCTCAAGCGGAGGAGAGAAAGAGGAGGAAAAGACCAGCTGTCCTGCCTCCTGTCTTCCTGGGGCTGGGTATCCGCACACCCCTCTGTCCATAGGGCTCGCTGTAAGGACACGGCCTGGCTCCAGGACTGCCAAATCTTTGCAGAAAAAGCACCATGTGATACACTCGCACAGGCAGCAGGGTGGTCTGATCCCACCTGAAGTTCTCAGCTCGGCAGCCGTATACTGTTTATATGAAATAACAGTAAGATTATAGCTAAGGTGAGAGGTGGTTTTCCCTTGTCTATTAATTGAGCAAGCCAGGTGTTTTAATCCCATTCCCAGTGTATTTCGAACTAGAACATATTGCTTGTCAGCCACTAAATATTTTAATGGTCTATACTGGTACCTCAATAACAGCTAGTCCAAAGGCGATCCCCATAATTATGAGCAGATGGTCTTTAAGGTATTTGATAATCACTTCTCCACAAGGCTGAAAAATAAGACAAAATTATTAATTATAGACAATCAACATTATCCTAAGGTTATTAAGAATGCATCCTCTAAAATAACTCCTCTCACGCTCTCTCTGTTTCTCTCTCTCTCTCTCTCTCTCTCTCTGTTAAAGGAAGGCTATTTGAATTTACCCTGGCTTGTTGGTAACTAAAAACACAGCTATACGTACATTGTGGTCTGAGAAAGATATCTAGTCTTTGTCTTCCCAAACATGAAGATGGATTTAGTAGCTGACCATAAAATGGTATCATTTCAAATTAAGACATGCAGCTGCAATGCCTAATGTTTGCATGATTTTCAGCTGACAAGGAAAGAAGCATTTACTCTTACTTTCACTTGATAATCATTCACTGCTAGGAAAGAGCCAATGCAGCGATGACCAGATCTGAAAGAGAACTTGAGTTTCCCACTAATCTGACCTTTGGATTTGAAACTTCAAAGCCTATTATGAGAATTGGGCTCAACTATCAATATATGGATATAAAACCTAGCTTAAATATTAATTTTGACAAATGTTTGGTGGTCTTGGGCTGAGGCTGGGAAGAAGAGAGTGATCACATCTGAAGTTCTGTGCAGAGCTACTCTCCTTTTTAATAAATGCATACATCTGTTCTTATAATGACTACATCTTCTCCAGGTGTTGACAATATAGGGAAAGCCAAGTAGGGCTTAAATCCATCAAAACTATGGTATTGTTCCAACACTACAACTGCCTTCCCCCAAAATATAGTTATATTCTTTCACCATATTTCCTCCCTCACAGTGAACACATGGGTCTTCTCCTTCTAGTCCTTCTAAAAACCCTCTCATTTAAGCTGACTCAGAACAGCACTGAATTTCAAATCTTTTTTCCTGGATCACAAGAGTTGAATGTCTTGACTAGCATCTAACACCACAATGAAATCTGTGTGTTCATGTGAGCGATATCTTGCACCTGCAGTAATTTCACTGATGGCTTCTCATGTGTCCTTTGAGGATTTGCCTGAGGCCAAAAAGACATTAAAGTGCGTCCAAAACAGCCTCTTTGTATACATCATATTTCCAGATTGGGTTCTGGCATCCTCTACTTAACCAGGCTGTTCCCTTGCTTTGAAACAGTATTTGCTTCTGTGGGAGTACACAGGGAGGAAATTAGTGTTCAGGCAGGACCTGGCTAAGGAGCTATGCATTTAGAAAAGTATACAGACAGATTTGGATACTTGCTAAAACCTGCTTTGTGCTAGGTGCAGGTTGGCAAATTGTACCACCAACATTCTAAAAATGCAGCTATTTTGTGCTAGTTTTGCTTTTTTTTTTTGTATTTTTCTTTGTATGCATGGAGTCCAAATTTCCATATAAGGAGACAGATAAATCTTGAAATTAATTAATTGAAATCTCTGCTGCTCACCTACCAGTTTTCCAGTATGCTTTCTTGTTGCTTGTTACTAGACATTTTTGCCTTATTATATTAACTGCCACAACCTTTTCAAAAGACCGTAGTTGTAGGAAATTACACTTTGAGTATGCTGTCATGAAGCCTACAACATGTAAGGTTTCTTTCCAGCAGATCCTGCAAAATGAGTGTGGGGTTTTTTTTTAATTAAAGGACTATAAAACCCCAAAGGTCTTGCATTTAATGTGTTCGTTTTTCAATATCCCTTGGCCCTTCAAAAGCCCCTGAGTCAATATGTCTACCACCACAACAAGCCTGGTTGGTAGACATAACCTTCTGAGGGAGGAATGAGAGCCAAAGGGTAGCTGATGTGCTGCTCTGACCCAGAGGCATGCCCTGAACCCAAAGCCATAATGGTTTTCACCTGTAGTAACCAGCCAGATTGCTGAGGTCCTAAGGGTACTGCCCTGCACAGCTAAGATAGATAGAGGCATCCCAGAGAGAGGAAGCAGCAGCATATTTCATGTATGCACAGTGATTTCATAACAGATGGCACAGGGGCAATTCTGACTAACAAAGAGAAAACAGAAGTTTGCCTTTTTGTAAAGAGACGGTACTTCTGACTATGCCAGCCACCAAAGACAACCTTGGTTTAAAAACTCTTTTTGGAAAGAAGAGTAGAACATTGTATTTTTCTTACCGTTTTATAAACGATTCTGCCTTGAAAGCTGGTGCAGAGGTTTGTTGATGACAGCTTTACTTCACACACACAGACTTTATTGCCATCGAAAAGAGTATCAAAATTTTTTCCCCAGTCTGCCGGTCCATTCAGCAAACCGCAGCACTGGTTCTACAAGAAAGGAGGGAATGGAAAGATGGGGAAAAAAGGGGTGATCTGCAGTTTGAGGAGACTAGGGGAGGGAGCTGAGAGGAACAATGAAGGACGAATTTCCTTTCATCTTTTCCCATGTGGAAATTCTCCTAAATTACTATGTCTCTAACATCCTTTACATTTCTGTACCAGTTATAAGGACGTTAAGTGCACAAGTTTAAGAAAATTTAAAAAAAAAGGAAAAAATACCAGATTTTCAGTATACGGTGCTCAAAAAACACTAACATACTATACAGCTAGTAATTATCAGTGCCAGAATGGAACTGGAGCATGGAACAACACTGGGTATAGTATTTTTTGAGAATCAAGTCTTCTTTCTGCAGGTTATACTTGCAGAAGGTAACAGATCCGGTAATATCCACACTTCACATCTTGAAAAAACAGGATGAAAATGTAAAATTCAGGCACGTAAAACTCTGAAATCTAGAAAAATAACCACCTTGAATGATGATTAGCCCTTTAAATTGGAAATGGACTTGAGGAGGCCAGGGTTCCATTTGGGGTTTGTGAAACCTAAACCAGGTGCAGTTTCACTTCATGTTCCACTTTATTCAAGCCACTAAAGCTCAGGGGTGCAGGCTTGGGTTTGAGGTCTTCCCTCTTTAAATAGCAGCTGGAAATGTTCACATCATTTTGTATATAAGCAAAGGCCGTGGGACATAATAAAGAAATCCTGGTCTATTTAAAAATTAATATAGTAATTATGGGATTTTTCATTTTGCTCACCCTTCAATCATCTCTCCAGGGAGCTGCTTATTAGAAGAAATAAGCTCAGAAGCAGAGGACAGGGCTGGAAGTGGAATGGGGAAGGGGAAGCGGAAGTAATACAAGCCACCCAAATATTGTTTCTTGCTTCCTTTTCTTCCACAACAGCAGCCTTTAAAAATACAGGAATCCTTTAAGCCTACCCATCAAAATCATCACCCATTAGGGGTCTACACCATCAACAATATCAGTGAGATTCAAGAGTATTCTCTGTGTGACACCCAGGAGCAAGCTGGCAATAAGTGTCTATCTTCCAGGGTCCTGTAGGTGAGGGAAGCCAGGATAGTTATAAGCACAGTGAAGACAAACCTCCCTTTTATCATGTTTTTTTCCCCCTTCTTACACAGTAAAGTATGTCATTTAATGACTTCATAACAATAGGATATTCCACATGAAATACGCTCCTGAATTTTTCCTTATCCCTGGAGTAATCTTGTCTTAAAGAGTACTGGATAGTTCTTAGCTGGGATACGGTGAAGGAGCAATGTCCCTTCAGAAGGGAAAGCTGTAACAAAGGAGCAGGCAGCCTTCTCATGAAAGAGCTTAGCTAACTGTCAGTCCTCACTTGCATGTTGTGTGTCCTTGCTCCATTGCTCTTATAAACACTATTGCACAAAGAATCGTCACAGAAAGCCCATGTCATATCAAAAGAGCAGAAGCCCCTTGTCTAGTGTTTTAACTTGCATTTAAATCAGACCCTTCCACATCCCCAGGGAATGAAATTCAAATCTATGGCAGAGTAGCCACAAAATGAAGCACAGACAAATGCTAGAGATGGAACAGATATCAACAAGCTCTGCCCTTCGTTACATTTTAATTACCATTCTCTCAAACTTCTGGAACTTCTCTTGAAACACTTTAGATTCTTCTGTAGAGCTTTGCAATGAATTCACACTGGCCAGGAGAGTCTTGTTAAGGGATGTTTCAATCTGCAAGTCCAAATATTTTATTAGTTTTCAGTGTAGAAGCAAAACTCTGTGAAGACATCAACGAAAATGCAGAATAATACTGTACCTGAGACCTGTACACTGCTCCTAAAATACCTCCTGTGACCTGAAGGATCAGGATCAGAAGCAGCCCAATAAAGAACTAGGAAGAAAACAAAAGGGGAAGAAAGCTATAGTACTTTTGACCAAGATGACATTATTTCTTCTAGGTGAATGCTAAGCTTTCATGTGCTTGAATAACCATGTAAGTAGAATGAACTGAAGTTCCAGTCAGAGCTGTTCCAGTTATTCCTTCTGTGGCGTTACAAAAAGGAGGTGCTCAAGACACAGTGTGCTCAGCTGGGGATCAAAACAAGGCGCACACCAGAGTAGTGGCATGATGGGCAGTGTGTAGGTGAGAGATGCTGGGCAGGAGGACAGAGAGGTTGTTCTAGGAGGACCAACAAAGAGAGCAACTGGGAATTTATGAAATTAAATGGAGTAGGTAATTGGGGAGGACTGGTAGAAGGAACTTCAGTGACGGTTCGATGGAAAAAAAGCTAGTGACATGCTTGGGGCTCTCTGGACCCTGTCTTCTTGTTGATGAGACCACCCATCATTTTTTCTGCCCTAGAATTCAGAAGGGTCTCAAGAACAAGGTAAGCAATGAAAACACATGATCATAATCAAGCATTTGGTTAAACAAAAAAGGCTCCCACCCTCATTTGATACTACTTCCAAGGACCTTTCCCATCAAATGTAGCTGTGGCCTGTTAAAGGTAGCCAAATGTTTTTCTTTCCTACCAACATCAGCATGCACCGGCTCTCCTTTATGGCACCACAGCACCCCAGAAACCCAAGGACCATAATGATGGATCCCACGGCTATCAGCAGGTCAACCCCAGCAAACAGGCTGCTGTCTATCTCCAATTCCTGAAAAGAGAGGGGAAAAAAATCTTTCAGCAACAAGAAGCTCCTCCTACAATCATCTGTATCCCCCAAAAGAAGACAATTATTTCATAACCGATAAATATACTGATTCACAACCATGGAGAAATTCTGATCCATAAATAAACAAACCTCTAATGCCCCTTTCTTAAACGGTTTGTTGGGGAGCTTGGTAGAACCTGACTTTTCACAATCTTTGTCTCTGCACAAGATGAAAGTGAACTTTACAGAATAAATAAAGTTCTCTTGTCTTTAAAGTGGCTTTCAGTTAGTTTTCAGTCAATGAATCTTTGCTTTTTACTGGAAGTAGCAAAATTGATTATCTCAGCAACTCTCCTACATTAACCAAATGTTAAAGAAACAAAACCTCTGTTTGTCATTAGGCGGCCAGGAATATACTCTGTGGTTGTTCCTGAGACAACACCTTTCAGAGCGATGTTGGATATACTGGAGAAATAGTTAGATGTATTTTCCAAAACAGCTTTCTTTTTCTTTTTTTTAGACATGATGTCTAATATTACCCTTAGAGATGAGGACGGTATTTTGATGTGTGGGACATTCAACTAAACAATTCATATACCTCAATATTATTAAAAATCAAATTATTCAGTTCCCACAGGACTGACTAAGGCCAAAGGCCAAAATAGAGAAAAATGTTCAAAGAATATTTTCCAATGTGGCTGGTGCCAAGATTAGCAAAAATGTCTGGAAGTTGTCACATTTATCTTCTGATGGAAATTGCAAAGGTATATAGACAAGTATAATTCGAAGAATGTGTTGTTCTTTCCCCTTCCAAGTTGGACTGAACCTCTTGTTATTTATTCTTAGAAAGCTCTATTCATCTACAGCCAGATCCTTATGGTCTGTTCAATTATTACTCACGCAAAACATACATTGGCTTTGAATGGGAACTTTGCCTGCACAGGGGCAAAAATGTGAAAAAAATGCTTTCAGTTTTTGTCCCTACTCTTAATTCACAGTTTTTGGGGAGTACTAAGTGTCACTTCAGGAAACCAGTTTGGGGACACACTAAGTATGCTTTTCGGAGTAGGAAATCACTCCAAAATTAAGAAAAGATAATATTGGTTATGGTTTTCCAAGCTCCATTGTACCATCTGAGCCATCATATGTTGTGGTTTAGCCCCAGCCAGCAACTAAGCACCATGCAGCCGCTCACTCACTCCCCCTCCCCCAGTGGGACGGGGGAGAGAATTAGAAAAAAACTCATGGGTTGAGATAAACACAGTTTAATAGGACAGAAAGAGAGAAAGAAACAACAATGATAACAACAATAATAATACCGACAAAGGAATGTACAAGAATGAGTGATGCCCAATACAGCGATTGCTCACCACCCGGCGATCAACAGCCCGTCCCTGAGCAGCGATTCCCGCCCCCCGGCCAACTCCAGTTTATGTACTGGGCATGACGTCGTATGGTAGGGAATATCTCTTTGGCCAGTCTGGGTCAGCTGTCCCGGCTGTGTCCCCTCCCAGCTCCCCGTGCACCCCCAGCCTGCTCGCTGGCAGGCCAGCACAAGAAGCTGGACTGTCCTTGACTGCTCAGCAACAACCCAAAACAACAGCACATTATCAACAGTTTCTCATCCCAAATCCAAAACGTAGTCTCACGCTAGCTTCTGTGATGAAAACCAGCTCTATCCTGGCTGAAACCAGGACATCATACTAGAGATGGTCAACTAGCAAGTATGGCAATTTTAGCTTCTCCTAAAATGTTGATCAAGGAGTGGAAGTTGTCACTCTTCTACAGTAGAGAACAGCAGAGCTTTCCACCATGACCTAATTTACCCCATGGCACAACGTCATCATGAGCTGAGTTCTGTTGCATTCATCCTCTGCCAGACATGAGACATCTGGGACTGACTAAGGGCAACAGCGTCATCGGCCAAATGGCAGGAAATATATAAAACTATATTCTTATCTCCACCATCTTTTTATTTCCAGATGAGAAAATACTGACTTAAATATTATTGTTCTTAACTGACAGACTGTGGTAGAGCAACAGAGGAGTGATCCAAAGATTTGCAACTTAATCTATACTAAAGGCTCAACTTGAAAGTTGGAGAAAAATGCTTCCATGTCACACCTGGCCATTTTTTCACTTCTGTAGCCAGAAAGTCTTTTTGGAAATAGAAGTATGCAAATTAAATTTTCAAATTAATTTACATTTCTATGGCCCAAATCCACAAGAAGAAATAACACTGCTTAAATATTAGAGTCAGATTGTTTTTCCTGTTTAGTATAACAAAGGAACAAACAAAGATTGTACAATGTCTTTCAGTGAGGCATCTATGAGCTGTGAAATAAGCTTTACTCAAGGGTGACGGAAAACACACTGTGAGTCAGAGGCCAGTGCCACTAGGAGCACGCTTGGCAAAAGGCTGGCAGGGCCCACAGGGCCAAAGGGCCTTTGCACCAACAGGATCAGCCTCTGCTGCATGTCTGCAAGGTCAAGGGCTCCTCAAAATTCTGTTTTCCCTAGCTTTGTAGAAAAGGAAAGTCATAAAGCCTGAAGTAATTTAATAATCCAGATAAAATTCAGAAGGGGAACTCAGGGAGTTTCTTCTCCCCTCCAGGAGGGCTGTTAGGATATTTTAATCCTAAGTAAAGATTTTTCTTTATAAATATTTCTCTTTCTATATAAATATGAGGGAAAAAAATTAAGGTGTTTTCAGAAGCCACTGAAAATAGAAAGGAAAGATCCTTGCTCCCTTTCAAAGTTGCAGTTACCAGGGAAATAAGAATTGTGTTATTGAAGACAGTGAGAAAGACAAAAATATTCCCTTCAAATGTATGGAAGTAACCCTAGGAATATATATGACTATACTATTCTAATGGGGAAAGACATTGAAAAGTCTAGGAGCCGCAAGGCTCATCATTACTCTTGCTAACACTGAAATCAATAACAAAACCATCATTAGTTTTCATTAAGGGAGAGAGAGAGACACATGTTTTCCAACAGAAATCAGTGCGCATCTGCAAGACCTACATGAATGACACTAGAAGACATTTCTTGTAGTTACATGTCTGTGCTTACATCAATCACTTTATCTGACTAACTGCACCATCTTGTTTAATCTTAAACATCATAAAATGCATGAATCTTTACCCACACAAGCCACCTCAACAAAAACATAACACATTTGTGGAAGTTAAGATGGTACATGAAGGTATATGCAGTAGCTTCCACATTTTATGTTGTTCTGCTATGACTGCATACATTTACCTGCTGGGCATCTTTGCTAACACGTATCCATATAGAGACTCCCAAAATAACAGAACCACACACCTGCAGGAGAAAATAAAGAATATTTAGAAAGATCAGTAATTTTAGATTAATGCTCAACATGCAAATTGCACCAGATGCTGGCCAAGATTCTGAAATCATTTGTTTGGCAAAGTGAAAGACACATGGATTGCTGGAGCAGAGAATATTGAGTCATATCCAGGAAACTTCATAAGGGTAGTTAAATCTTCAGTTATGCACCAAATCCCTGATGTTACTACCTCAGAGGACTCTGCATTTCCTTGATGATTTATACATGTGGTTGGGAAGCACACAGAAATTCTGTCAGATGAGAGAGGAATATGAATTGCTATAGTATGTATATAACATGACTGTAAAGAACATTGTTTCTTGTATAATGGAAACACATGAGATTTGATAAGGGATGTTGCTATAAATATTGCTTCTAGAATTATTCAGGACAGATCTAGAGACATATTCTTTATGGTGAAACTATCAGGAAAAATGCTAAATAAAGTCGTTCTGCTGTTTCTGTCGCAACAACATCTGGCCATCTCCAATCTTTAGAATACTCCCCCTATAAAATGCTTATTGTGATAGTTATTATTTCCATTACATTTTTATAGAATAAAAACTTTTTGAGTCATGTACATGTGAAAACTAGACGAGAACAATTTGCTTTAAGATGTTGAAGTCAGGGCAGATGAATCCCAGGTCCAGACATGTTCCCTAATCACTAGTTGAGCTCCTGTTTTGTTGATCGTTGAGGTACTGTTCCACTATGCACCAGTCACTCTATTCTAGCCTTGTCCATCATGATTCTCATAGAGAATTTCTCTTTATTAAGTGTTGGAAACAGGTAATTAAGAGGTTAATCAGGCCTAAGGAATGTGCCTACTGGGAGGACTGTTAGGAAAGAGAGATCACTGAGGACGAAAGTCTAGTCAGATTTAGAATTATCTTCCTGTATGTCATTAATACTCAAGTCATAAACGGCCCTTAAATGTTGTTATGAGCTTCCCATGAAGACTGGGACTACTCCTAACCTTATAAAATTAAAAGAGCGATTTTAATATGTTTTAGAGAATTTTTCTTAAAAAAAATGCTTTCCCTGCAAAAGGTTTCATGTAATATTCAGCATCAAAGACCGTAACGACTTTAGCAGATTATTTAATATGGAACAGAGCCAACACTCAAACATGAGTACCACACATTTTCCTGCTCTAAGTAAAGCTCCTATAAGTACATTTTAAACATGAAAAGGAAAGTTGTACATCGATGACAGCTACATCATGTTATCAAATTTAACTAGAACTCCCAACTGAAATCTTCTGAATCCCACTGAATCTGCCTAGAAACTGATGGTATCATATGACTATATTTGGGACCTGTTGAGCAGCGCTATGTGAGCCATGTGGCTATGCACCAGACAACATGGGTTCACTAATGTGAAAATTTCCACTGAAGCAGCTATTGCTACAAATCCAAACAGAATTTGGCCCACTGCCTTATTTGTTATATACGGCCCCCCATAAAAATACACCACAGTAGCAGAAGTCAATATAGCTGAATGTACAGGAACTTACCAATCAGATGGGAATGCTATAATATTTATTTCCTCCGTTCAAAAAAGAAATATCATTTATAAATTGAAATTTTTAGTAATGGGTATATATTTTAACTATAAAAATAGAGTTGGTTTAGATTGATTAAAAAATGCTCCATTTCAGTAAAATCTTAATGTTCTGTTTCTGGTTATTTTCATAATATACAAAGTGTACAAGAACGCACAAAGAAAAGTTTTGAAATAATAAATCAAAATAGTCTGTTCCCAAAGAATCCAAGTAGAACATTTCAAGTTTGCTGGAATACTCTGTTGTAATTATTAAGTTTTCTTAAAATACAGTTTTCATTTTTAATGAACCAGTATTTTCCAAGGGAATAAAAAGAGCTTCTTTGAAAAGGTCCTCACCTGTTTTCGCCAAACTAGATGGCTACCATAGTTTCGCCTCAACCCTTGACCAAGAATCAGTGACCTTGTCACGGTCTTATAAACTGACCAGGAACAGGACTGTTGTCCCTCAAATTCAATAGGTCCTTCTGTTCTCAAACCCTTCAGTCTTGGTGTGATGAAGAAATACAGCCTCGTTAAATTAATACCACCTGAGATGAGCCTGCTGTGACTCTGGACCAGCAGCATATCAAGACTTTGTACTTCTCAGACATGAGAATACCAAACTTCTGGGGAATTCCCTCCACCAGCACACACATTTTAAGCAATCAGTTTAAGGGTACTAGGAAGAGCTTTATACAAGGTTGTTCCTGTTCAGAAAAACATTTGACTGGAATAGTTCCTTGAGATACCTCAAATTAACAGTGCTAGGAAGGACCTATAAGAATGCAGGATATGGCTCAGCATACCTGCTAAATTTATGTTGCTACTTTCAGGGACCAAGAGGTTCACTTTCCTTCCTGATGTAAGGTATAGGGAAGGGGCCACTTTGGTTGTAGATGGGACTACAAGTCTGGTATTAAAAACTGATCAAAGATTGCCCCATCACTAATCAGGTTGCCTCAAGCTAGGGATCAGACATCAACATTTAGTGAAAAAAAAAAAAGGAATTCTACAATTTTGCATGATAGGGAGTAACAGAAGCTGACAGAATGAGAGCAGCAGGTGAGACTAGATACCCTGCAAACTCTGAAGAAGGGATTTTTTTTTCAGTCAGGTTTAATGCAGAAAACTGACTTAATGATTAACTTAAGGACTATTAAAAGGTCCGCACAGGCATCCAGCTCCAAACAGTCAGGTTTAATGCAGAAAACTGACTTAAGGATTAACTTAAGGACTATTAAAAGGTCCACACAGGCATCCAGCTCCAAAGCACAGATCTTCAAAAGCCCGTGCTCAGCTTGCTTTCACCAGACTGGGAGGATACAAAAGTCTACGGACATGCTGGAGCCCAGCTGCAGATCCCCGGGGTCACACGTCACATAAGAGATGAGGCTAAGGGTAGCAAAGCCAGAGCCTCCTTGCAGAGCTAGCTTAGACTGTTCCAGGGCTTACATATTTAGGGTTATGCTGTAAGAACTGCTTAGAAAAAGGCACCAGAAGGTGGAAAGCCCATTCCCAAGTCCCCTAAGAGGAGACACTCCCAGAGAGATTGCAGAGGACTTAAAATGAAAGGACGCCAGGTGAATATGCAGCCGTTGCTGTTATCTAGTTCAGGTTAAAGTCACCTTCATTTCCCACTATCAGTTTAATTTTCCGCTTGTCAGCTGCCTCGTGCACCAGGGAGAGCAGCTATGGGAGCAGTGGCTGTAGAGACATCACTGTTCCCTGTACTGTACTACAGCAATTTAATGATTTCCAGGAATTAGAGGCAGGAATGTGAATCAAAGAATTCCGTTTCATTGTGCTCCGTTGGCACATATTCCTGTTTGCACCATGTCTGTTCTTTCCTATCTTGGTAGTGCTAAATCTCTTCCTTTAAAATAAGTAACTATAGCTGCATTCCCATCCTCCTCTGTCCCACCCAGGCAGTCGTGTGCACAGCAAATGCTCTCAGTATATTCTACCCTAGAATAGAGTCAGGATTTTCCTACCTTTGGCATAAGGGCAGGTTTGGGAAGTTTGTTCCACGTCTGCTTGTTTCCTGAGCTTTCAAGATCTGCCCAGGATCACATCCTGTGTTGTTTGGGTTTGTTTTTTTTTTCCTAGGAAACCCATACTGTCACTGCAGGCTGAGGCATTGGGCATTATTCACATGTTCACTCCAGAAGTACTTTGGAGCTTTTCTAATGCTAGTGTGAGACATTTGCCTATGTTTTAGCTTGCAGGAAGTACAGATGAGTGTCAACAGGAAAAACTTCCTGAGGGACAAGAATTCCAAGTCACAAACTTATGGACCGTTTTAAGTACTGTTGCAGAAAAACATCAACACAGACGTCACAGATCTTCAATCTGCCTTGAATGGAGGTGGAGAAAGAAGAGGGGGGAGGCAGTCCAAACCATCACTGCCCTGTTAGGAATTTCTTTGTGAGGTCCAAAGTGATCAAAGAGTTTTGCTAATTCTTTTCATTTTGGCTAGCCACAAATTTTCCAAGGTTACTGTTTGTGGTCACTTTTGAAAGGTATCACCTTTTCACTCAAAAAAAAAAAAAATCCCTTGAGGTGAAGCCCATAATGTGGCTAGTAGTTCCACTTCTGGTTTCAGTGAACCTCTGGTGAGCCTGACAAATCTCTGTTGGTAAAACTGACGGTGAGGTTGAACCATGAGAGAAAAGTTCTTTAACTCAAACCTTTCCAGAGTTTCCAGGACCTGAAATTCTTGCAAACCAGCTGAGATGTGATAAATAACCAAATACGGTTCAAATGACACCCAGAAACCTGCCTGCTGCCCTGTGCTCTATCTGCCTTGATACAGCTATTGGCAGTACTGCCAGCCCATACCATTTTACAAACATTTACTGTCCACCATCAGAAACTAATTATGACACTGAACGTAAAGCAAAGAACCACAAAGAAGGATATGAAAACCATTTATCAATTAGGAGCCTAAAAATACAAGTGAATTTTCCATATCTTTTGTTTCAACTACATTTTCAGGATTATGCCATTTGGACGGAAGCAGCAGACAATAAAAGCAAGAGAATGATGCACTATAAGTGGAGAGTCTGCTACCCTCTGACAGAAATCAGTGATGTTCCTTGACATGAGGGCACGATATGGGTAGGGAGAGAGACTCCTGGCTGGTCTAATTTTGAATGTGGAGGGAAAGCTATTTTGAAGGAGAAAGACAAAGGGAAGGGCAAAAGTTAAACATGTTCTTCCCTCCCTGATTTAGAATCGTACTCTGGTTCCACTTATGCTCTATTTTCTTTGCAACTTCTTCAACTACAGCGTTCAGATAATGTTGAACACATTTCATGCATCACTAATAACAATTTAAACACCAACTTACCCAAAATAAGAAGTTGAAGATGAACATGGAGTACTTCATGCAGCTGCTTACACCCGCCATTTTCAACAAGCTGAGGCAAAAATGAGCACTGCAGAAGAAGCTTTCCTAGGAGTTTGACCTTGATATAAAAGTTCCTTTGTTTTCAGAAAACCTCTCAGACCATGTCAAATGCACCGTGCTCTGCTGCTAGACGCAAAAATTGTGACCAAGGCATCGACAATTATTTAAATAGTTCCTATACCACAGGTAAATATTAACCAGAGCATTGGGGAAGCACTACCAGATGTTATCTCTGAGTCTGCAGACTCTTATTGCATCTTTCTGATTTGTGCTTTTCTACAGCCCTGTTAGTCTTGTCCTACACCTCGAAAGTAAATAGATAATGCAACAAAAGTCATCGTTTCAAGAGAAAGGGAAGTGACAATGAAAGCATTTTACAGACCTGCTATAAAAGATGGAAAGGATTGGTTTTCTTAATGCTTTTTAAGTTACAGAGTGTCGTCTTTCATTGCTCACTGATCATTGCCAACATTCATTCAGTCGTGCTCACCCTGCCTCTCCGGACGTTAAGCCAGGGCGAAGGCATAGGTCTGTGTAAGCCCTGCACAGGAGGGGTAAAGAATCTGCCACCATTTTCTCCCTCTCAATGTCTACGTCAGATCCTTTTCCTCTTCCTCACCAAATCAGGACCCTGGGAACCTGAGCACTGTGGTGCACAGAACATCCTGCTGTGCGGGTTTCCAGAAGTATTGTGAGCCCCAGCACAGTAATCGTGGTTCTGGCACCAGATTCAGGTACCCTCTCGGCAACAGGAGCTAAATTCATCCCGGAAGACAAGGCAATAAACCTGTTTCATTAGTTTTGTTTTATAGCTTGTTTGTTTTATTTTGTGCTCCTCAAACTAGGAATCCTGAGGGGAAAATAAAGGTATCATTGCCCTGTTTTTTCTATCAGACCATTTTCTGAAGAAGCGCTGCATACCAGTCCTTGGAGGGATGAGAGTGAGATCGGTTCATCATAAAAAAAGAGGCTTTATTTTGCAGGTGAGCACAAAGGATTTAAATAAGAGAGATTAAGGACATGCTGGACTGAACTGATTTATGAAGCCCCCCTTGTCCCAAGCCCATTTTTCAGACTTTACTATCAGTTCACGTTCTTCAGTTCTGCTGTCTGTATTTGAAAAATAAAGGAAACTGTTAGTATATAACACACCTGTAGATGGTGACAAAAAGATGTAACTTAGAGCCTGGCTTCTGTAGGATCTGCAAAAAAAATCTACTTTACATTGAAAACAACTTCCTCTGGGTGCTCTCTAAACCAGCTCTTAATGAAGGTGCGATATTGTAATCTCTCCATTCACTTTCACTAATTGTATTTAAACAGACACAACCAATCCCACTTTCATGAGTAGCTCTATACCTGTTTTTGACTTTCTGGGCTCCTTTCTGGAGTACTACTCTTTTCTCTAACTCTAGGAGACTGGCTTTCTGACTAGCTTATTTCGCAATATCCACCCTGAATCTGAGAATGTTCCTAAAAATAATTGCGCTCATGAAATACAGATTTTGTAAGGATTGGGAGAAACAACTGTGTGGTATGGTTTAGATCTAAAGCACTCAACAAATAAGTAAGTTGAGAAATGTGGGTGTCTTTATGGAGGGATGCCATAGCCACAGATGAATCATGAGAAAAGTTTAAAGGGCCATATAAAATTGTATGAAAAGGGCCATGAAGGGTAATAAGACAATCGCAGATGACACAGGATTTGAAGAAATAAGTCTTCAATCAGACCATGCAATTGCAGTAAACTAAGTTTATAATAAGTGGAGTTCAGAAACAGCATTTTGTACCAAAAACTACACAACTATAAATCTTCACGCGGAGTAGATACTCATTAAGGAAGGCTTGAGCTGCAGCACTGCTGTCTGCAAGATGCTTAGCCCAGGCATTCAGTCACACATGTCTGAGGGAAACTGCGCTAGGGCAGTAATCACACAGGAAGCAAGCGTGAGCGTTCACACAGTGGCCCTTCATAAGAGTCCGGTGTACGAGGACCTTGCACGCACAAGTGGCCCGCTCCCTCTTCACCTCCCTGCTTTCCTTCACAGAACTCTTGGATTTTTGGCCAGGTGGAGGTCTGCAGCAGCAATGCCCCAGAGTGACTCCCAAAGTGGTGTACAGTCCCGGGCTGTCGGAGGACCCCAGGCCTGCCTGGGGGCAGAGAGCTCCACAGCATCTCTAGACCCAGCCTCCATCCTTGGGAGGTGTAGGACCAGCACAGCTGAGTTTCTTGTTCAGTCTAGGAAATCTAAACAGCTGAAGACAGATATGATTTAGATCTCAAACCTGTTTTCATTACAATTTTATACTTATGGCTGTGGATGTTGAAGAAATTTGCCAGAACTTCTGTGATTTTTTTAAACTTTTTTTTAAATATGCCTATTGAACATTAACAAGCAAGTTCTGGTAAGATCCCAGTTCTTCCTAAACCTTGAAGAATCTACCTGCATTTTATATGTTTACTGATCTCTTTGGAAAGAGCAAAATAGACTTTCCTAGAATCTGATAAATATTCCTTTTCTAAGATGGCAAATAGAAAATAATGTCAAAGTTACATACATGTCCTAGTGGGTTTCCAACATGCTAAATATGGCTGCTGAACAGAAACTCAGTATCTGAATGTACTACAATACCCACATGTTTCATATCTATATTTAATGGTATCCAAAGTAAAAATATGTCATCTAAGATTAAAAGCAAACAAGCAGTTTCCATTAAGTGACAGATTTTCAGGTTAAGTCTTCTGTATGAGTTGATAATTTCTTATTTCCTGGCTACACAGTGCTTCTTTATATGTCTTGGAGAAAGGGAAAGCCACAACTATGGCACAGATTACATTTGCAGTTGTACCTACAAGTATGAAGGTCATGCAGATAATTGCAGAGGCTTATGAATGACAGCAATGGCATGAGAAATTTTGCTGCTATTTGGCTGCATGTGAAATTGCTCCCATTACCCCTCCACTAACCATTCAGAAGATCAGCTATGCCCTACCAATAACAAAGCCTGTGCCACAAATTGCTCAAAAGCATTTCCCAGTAAAGAAGTTGTAAACCTTCATTCACTTGCTGCTCCTCCTTACAGATTAGAAAAGGAGGGTTATCAGTGCATAACCAGCGTGCGGCGCAAGGTGGGAGCCTGTGACGCAGCACACACAACTCCCCACAACAACAGGGGAGTTGTTACGACATGCTGATTTCACCTGCTGTGTCACACCAGAAACAGGAGAGGGAGAGGCATATTTGGCAGAAAAAAATGCCAGTACACCTGTAATGAACCTGGAGTACAGCATCCAAAGTGGAACAGGCTGCCCAGGGAGCTGGTGGAGTCACCATCACTGGTAGTGTTCAAAAAATCTGTAGACGTATGGTACATGGTTTAGTGGGCATGGTGGTGTTGGGTTAACGGTTGGACTTGATGACCTTAAAGGTCATTTCCAACCTTATTGATTCTGTGATTCTCTGATCTCCCCTTTGACACTTCCCAAGCAGCTATAGTTGGGTTTATAACGCTTTTACCTTCCTTGTCCCCTGAGCCTTTCCTCACTTTGAGCCTTTTTCTTCTTTCTTTACAACCTCCATTTCCCCTTGGGAGGTGCCTCCTCACGGTCAGGCTGTGACTAAAGTCCCATATCAGATGATTCACGGTATAGCCAGTCATACATTCATCTCTGGACTTGAAAAACTGGTTTGTCCTGGGTAGCAGCGAGCTCTTTGAACAGTGGGATGTAGATAGTGAATAATAAAAGTTTGTTTGCCATTGGAATTTCTGCTCAGTGTGGTGATAAACGGACAATAGAGAAGACTGGTAAGAACTATATTCAGCGTGGAACTTGCAACCTCAAAGAGATCAGTAGATGTCTGGATCTGCTGAATACGTAGGGACAGCCTATATAAGCTGTGCAGAGACAGATCTCAAGCTGATTCGTCCTTCAGCTGAAGGGATGCTTCACCTCACGCAACCTCACCTGTTGCCCTGAGGTCTCTACTCAGTACAAGTTTCTGCATTTTCTAATTAAACCCCTGTCTAAACAGTAGTGCAAAGTACAAGAGCTTTTTCATGCTTTTACAACAAGTTGTTCACCCACGATGCCAGGTGAAACAAATGCTGTGTGCCATAAGGCTTGACAGCATTTTGGCACTCATCTAAATGGGGAATGCTACCTTAAGAAGACATCTTTGCAGTCCAAACAGTAGGACAAACACCTTCAAACCAGTGGGAAATGGGAGCATCTGTTTTTGTCCTTGAAGGTATTTGCAACACTGGGTCTGACTGAGATTGCAGTCAGTCTACTATACCTCATGTCTTGGGTTCAGCTTTAGCAAATAGATTTAGTGAAATACCATAATATATAGTGATATATATACTATATATATATGATTATATATACTCCCATTTCTGACTCTTAGCAAAATAATACAGTGTCCTAACAGATCTTATTCATGGAGAATTGTTTTACGTTGGAATATATGTGGCACTGACATGGCTGCTGAGTTGATAATCAGCTCCCAGAGTCAAACACTTACAAGATTCCCTGACCTCATTTTAAAATATCCTTTCATCTAGGCCTTGAGATGAAGGGTAAGAGTGAAAGCATGACAAATATATGCCTGAAAACTCCAAAGGCTGAATAAAATGTAGGAGAAAGAAGATAGCAGCATTGTATTTAGTCACGAGTCTTACACCATTCTCATTATTTTGGGCAGGTGACTTGTGATCAACAATACTATAAGTGGATAAACTTTTTGCAAACTTCTATGCCTCACAAGGCTTAGATAGAGCTATGATTGAGTCCAAGGCTGATCCTGCGATTGACCACATGGAAAGGAATGAGAGTATTTTCAACCAGGCATGTATATGGCTGGCTGAGTCAGCTGTCTAGGGTGCCTTCACAGCTTCTGCAGAGGAATGGGGACTGCTAGGGAGTGATTTAGCTTATCCTAAAATAGGCATGAAAACAGGCCAGGTGAACTGTGCCCTTAGACGGCATGTTTCTTTCC